AGTTACCATTACACGATTGGTGGACCCCAACCATTTCCCGTGTTTTGTGTCCATATTGAAAAGCTATTCACCATCAAGAAAAAATTATTTAGTATACGCTGTGTGTGCTATACACAATAAGCTAAATCGGTATAGTTCTTACTGCTTAGGGAATATAAGCAAATGGGAGTAATATTATGCTGAAAAATGGATAAAAAGCTGTTGACATATTCAACCTTTGTGTTTTTTTTAAATTCTGAAAAAAAAAAAACATGAACTGCTTGTATACAGTGCCATTGAGAAGTGAAAGAGGAATTATTATGTCCATCCAAATTATTTGAAGGAAGTTAATATTTAAAAAAAATAAACAGGAGAGGAGGAACCTTGGCGATTCAGAAACTGCTGAGGTCTGGAATAGGAGACGCACAGAGGCAATGCTCTGATGAATAGTTATTGGAGAGGTCACAGTTACAGGGAATTTACCGAGTGCCAGGCACTGTGCTAAGCTCTTTCCACGCATCGTCTCTGTCATTCTCCTAACAACCCATTAAGGTAGGTGCTGTTTTTATCATCATTATTTCATGTGAGAAGAAAGCATGGCTTAGATTTGTGGCAGCTCCGTCACAGGTGTGCCTGATGCCTGAGTGTGTAAGCACTTACCTGTACTGAGTCAGGCCCTTGCCTTGGATTTGATACTTGAGACACCTGCCTTGATCATTTATGAAGGTGACCTTGTAACAACAACAACAAAAAAAGCCAGAAAGTATGCAGCCTGGGACTAGACTGTAAAATGGAAGAAAAAGCCTCTATGGGGATTGCTTTCACCAGAGTGACAAAATGTCACCAACGTTGTCATTGATACTAAATATCCAGGGAGTTCTAACAATATGCCAGATTTTTGGCAATGGAATTACTTTCGATCCCAGCCAGTGAGTTAGCAAAGCTAAATTCTGTCACATGCATGAATTCCAGCAGCTATTCGCTGAGAAAGGCCCAGTCTCTAGGGGAAAGCAAAAGAGCTGCATAGGGTGCAGAATTTAAGGTGGCACCCCCTCCTGCCCTCACCTGGCCGTAAGAGTGAGCACTCCCACACTGTGGACCCTCTATCTGCTGCCTCACCCTGGTCCTGGCCCTGTGGCCGGGAAAGGGGCTCACCCTTGAATTTTTACAGATAATAGATAGTGTGAATGGAATTTTGTTTCATATTTATTTCTATTAAATAGAAGCAATATGCCCCTGTGATGAAAAAATATCTTTGCTATCCAAAGGATCAGAAGAAGTATCAAATTAAGGAATTACCTGTTTTATACAAAATGATTTGTCATTAAATATGCAGAATATGAATGCAAGTAGTCGTATTTAGGTAAGTCATAAAGAAAAAGACAATATTAACTACTAAAATGCCCCTCAAGCCTTTTTACCTTCCATCTCCCCCTGTAAACGCACAAGTCAATAGCACAGATGTCTCAGTCCTTTTTCTACATCTTGAAAAAAGAAAACACTGCTGGCTTTGAAGCTGCCTTGGCAGGCCGGGGATGATGCAGGAAAAGACCCAGACATAGCAAAAGCCCTGATTCGAAATTCAGCAG